TCGGCTTCAATAGCCGGCACAACGTGATAGCTAGTATGAGGCCAATCAGGCAACTGAACAGACGTGGATCTCGAAAAACTGGCATATTGAGTGCGTCGATGTTTGCCGGGTTCATTGTCTACGTAGGAATCATATTTGTCAAATAAAAACCCTCCGGTTTCTTTGTCTCTGTCCATCAATCCCTGACAATCTGCCAAGTACTTCAGAATCGACATGTCTACCGTTTAGTCTAGCACCGAGTCAAAAATTATATTGGCTAGCGTCTTCGAGTGTATCATCCAGAGTAAAATTGAAATTCTACAAGCAAGAACTATGTGTGTACATTATGAAACATTAAACTCTATATTAAAATCCGTTTTATTTGACCTACCTCTTGATCCAAAAAATACAATACTATCTATTCCTTTAATTTTGATCAATTTCTTTGACTGAAATTGCTTGTCGTATAATTAATAAGTAACTTCTGTTTGAACAACTTTTTGAGTAAACATTTTTGACAAAAATATTACTTTAACGAGACGTTATCTTTTTTTGGATTCTCCTATATGTTCATCACGATTTTTCACGCATTAGCGTGAAACAAAAAGTTGTTCGGGAATTATATAACGACGATTTGCGATAATGAAATTGGTAAGTAATTCTTTATATAATAAAAAAAAGATTACGATTATTTAAACCTTTTTCAGTAAAATTGTATGTTTTCGTTCATCAATTGATAGATCTCCACATGCTTTTTAAAAACGTATTAACAAGGGTCTTACTAATTCGAAAATGAAATACTTCGACTACTAATTTCGATTAATACTAATTTAGTAGTATTAAATTTTAATACTAATTACTAATTTCGATTTTGAACACCGTGGAAAGACTCGAATCGACAGTTTCGATAGACCCAAAATAGATCGCAATGGAAAGACGCAGTATTTCCAAGAACAAGAATTAAAGTGCAAGAAGTTCGACGTCTAAGAAAGGGAAGATTCTGGAGCCATCGAAGAGGAGCGCTCATCTAAGAAACGAAGAGCGCTCGGCACGAAGCAATATCGCGATAGCGGATGCCAGCGGGTCGTGTATTTTGTCGCGAAAGTCTCCGGCGCATCGGAGTATTTGGCCGTTTGTCGGACCGCGTAAATACGCGACAATGCCGTCCTTTGTGGGGCTCGTCTATCAGCGATGTTTGCCAAATAAAAGCCTATATACGGGCCTCTTTGTCTCTGTCGAGCTCGTGGCGGGCCGAGAGCCCACCCCCGGCGCCGCACCACCCCCGCACGCCAATGATACGCCTAGTTGCCTATGAAACCCGGTATGCCCCCTCGGTGCGTGTACAAAGGGGCATCAAGTTAGCGGTGACGGTGATGCAAAGTATTTCCAGGGTGGAGAACACGTGCGGACCCGAGGGGTTCTGACGACCGGTGCCCCCCTAAATCGGGGACGACAGCCAGCATACGTTGGGCGAGGGGGCGAGGGGTGGCCTATTTGTGGGCCGAATTTGTTCGAAACATTAGCTGTCACCTAAGAGAATGCCCAGTTCCTGGAGACTACATTAGCTTCTCTGTAGTGGTGACTCTGAGGCGCCTTTACAAATTGTTATTTTAAAAACTGTCAAAAGTGCAACTGCTGTACGAGTCGCTCTAAGTCATACGAAGTGAAAATACTTAGGTCGGAAAACTATTTTGGATATCAAATACAATATCGCAGGCATTTAATTAACACTAAATCGAGCATTAGAAGATTGAATTTACTTGTACTTATACTTTTCGAAATTTTTATTAACTACATGTTTGTGTCTATTCAGTATACAAAAGAGTCTTTATAGAGAGAGAGAGAGAGAGAGAGAGAGAGAGAGAGAGAGAGAGAGAGAGAGAGAGAGAGAGAGTTTCAACGATTTAAAAATAAATATATGAAATCGTTTATTTTGACCGGTTCGATAAGTTTAGTGTTAACGAAATCGAAACTAGAATGATAAAATTTACCATGGGAAATATTAGATTGACTCTGCTATATTTAGAAAATCCTAGCTACGTTCAATTTGTTCAACATATTGCAATATAAATGAACTTGAAAACCTGGTTAAAAATTAGTGTCACCTATATGTGA